GATTTGCATTACTTCACTGACTTCGCGGCGTTGCAAGCCGGCTTTGCGGCACGTCTTCCTACTCACTCTGCAGAGTAGAACCACAGACTCGCCGCCGCCACGAACGTCAACCTCGACCGACCGCTTTATGTAACGTTGCATATGAAGAAAAAAAAAAAAAAGCATCGTTATTAAGCATCACGGGTTTAAAATATGCCAGCGGTCGCCGGGAGGTGGCGCCGTCGAGCTGCTCCGAGCTACCGGTTTATTCCCTCCCTCCAGACTCGCACGTGGCCCGCCGCCTCCCGGGTGAAAAGCGTCAGCCTGCCCGTCCTCGCTCCACTCGCCTTTTGCAAAGTGAGCAATGCCGTCCGCGCTGCGTGTGCGGGGCAGCCGTAGACCCAAATGCACGCTCTGGGCAGTTCGGGGAAGCGTCGGTTTCAGCAACAGCTCCCGACGCCGCTGAAACGAGCCCTCCGTACGGGCTGCAGGGGCGAGGCAAGACGCCCTGCAGAGGAACAAGTGGAAACGGTAGGAGGCTTTCCCTCCTGAGGCGGAGGATGGCTGCGAGGGATGAGCCCAGTTGAGAAAAGGCGTGTGAGGGATGTCCCGTTATTCCTGAGCTGCTGCTGAAGGGGTGGAAGGTTTTGTGCGGGGCTTTTCCTTGGGAAGTGGGGCGCCGGGGGAGGGATGTTTGCACCAGCCCAACCACGCACTTCTCTGCATCTGCTCCAGGATCCACCCAGTCTGTTTATGCCGGAGGTTTGGTGAGGGCACTTTATTGCCCCTCTGCTCCGCCCCACCCGTTGCTCTCAGTGTGTGTGCCGGCCTGGATGCGTCGTCCAGACAGTTGTACTTTTTCTCTCTTCTCTCCTCCTTCCTTTCCGGGGTCTCGTACGCAAACCGTGGCAGTCCCGGCTGCCCTGCCTTCTCCAAGGGAGTGGGTGCGCCTGGTTATCTGGGGAAGATACAACTACCACCGCCAATGGAACCTGTTTTGCAACGGGCACTTCGGCTGCCGGTTCTTCGTGGGGCAAAGAAGCCACCCACCCCGCTGTATTTCGCTGGACGCGTGTGAGGGCGCCCACCTTTCCAGGATCTTCTGGAGGGTGACTCGAACGCCGCCTTTTACAAGCTCCGATGTCACTTTCTATCTTTTGCCCCAGTCACTTCAGTGTACGTGTGGCTGTGCCGTCCACAAAGGGGGACGCGGTCTCCTCGGTCCTCTGAAAGAAGGCCGTCTTGCGCGAAGGTGTCTCCTTGAAACTACAGAATTCCCTCTTGACTTTCGAGGAACAGTCGAACTAAGGCTGAAAATCGTCGCTCCGTTTTGCTGGGCGGTAAAACTGCTAGAACTCTCCTCCGCTCCCTGCCTTGCTTGCTCTCCGGGGAAGGCTGTCAAGAGGCACGGAGGGAGGGTGAGTGAAGGGTTTTGTTGGCCTCAGAATGCTCCACTCCATCTTGGGGGACTCTCCTTCCTTCTGAACAAGAGCTGGCAGAAGAAACTTTGGGAGAAGGAAGGGCTGACTTTCTCTTTACACAAAAGCTCTTGTTGCTGGATTCTGAAGGCTGTTTGAATCCCCTGAGACTCAGTTGCCTACCTGCCCCAGCAATTGAATTGGTCAAGGAACGGGGTTATTTAAGGACCCTCAGGGATTGGGGACAGAGACTTCAAGGGTATCCTTGCCTCATTCGTCTTCAGAGGTGCTCAGAGCAAGCTTGAGGATTTTCCTGGGAGGTACTTGGAAGCTGCATCTTTCTTGCCCGTGACACCAGGAAGAAACTTTGCTCACCAAAATGTCCAAAGGGGTGGCTTCCAGTGGAGTTGGAACTGCGGCAGCACCAGAGAGTTGTGGGGCAGGGCAAGCTGAAGACCTCTCTAAGGTGACTGATGAGGAGCTGCTGAAATGGAGCAAAGAAGATCTCATTCATAGCCTTCGTAAAGCTGAGTCAGAGAAAGTGAGTGCCATGCTGGATCATAGCAACCTCATCCGGGAGGTCAACCGACGCCTGCAGCTCCACCTGGGCGAGATCCGGGGGCTCAAGGTAAAAGGATGCTTGCAGGAGAGGGAAATGGGAGGGGTCGGGAAGCAAAGGCAGGGTGAGAAGTTCTTCTAGTCTTTGCAAATCACAATGCAGCTGTGTAGCCCCTTGCAGAAAATCTAGGATCATATAGACGGCTATAATGAAAAAAGGTAGGGATGGGCAAATTAGGTAGAGGTTTTGTTTGAAAGATTGTTGTGTGTGCTTTTGTTCTGGTCCTCCGAATAAATGCCTAGCATTAAGTTTATTTTCCTCCATTTGAAGTTCTCCCAGGCCACTGGGACTACAACATCCAGAGTTCCCTCCACCAGCATGCTGTAAATAATAGCCACAGAACTAGGTTAGGAAAAGTTGCGGAATGTCCTTTGTAACAATTGCTGAATGTTGGATCTTGGGATTCTAGTAAAAGGCAAGTGGGCCCCACAAACTGCCCACCCTTACACAAAGGCATGTTATAAGTTGGTGGATATTGTACAGGAGAATTTCAAGGTTGATTTAGCCTCACTCCTCTCCCACCCTTAATTATATGTAAAAATACAACTTTAGTTAACCCACTATTGTTATTATCTCCTTGCCAAAAAAGTTTTCTTTGGACTCAGTCTCAGATAGGAGACATAATAGCAGAAGGTCTCTTGTGTGTTTGCGAAGTACATTCTATCCCAAAGGTGCTTTTTCAGGAGGCAACTGGACTTTTTTGTTTTTCTTTGAAGATGTTTCTTGTTTTCTTGTTTTTCTTTGAAGACGTTTGACTTCTCATCCAAGAAGCTCTCATCCATGAGTTCCATTCCCCATCATCCAGTGAAAGCTGAAGAAGCTTTTTGGATGAGAAGTGAAACGTCTTCAAAGAAAAAACAAGAAAGTCCAGTTGCCTCCTGAAAAAGCACCTTTGGGACAGCCATGACTGAGAATCTCCATAAACAAGGTACATTCAGTTTTTCTGAACCTCAGCAACACTTTAAGATGTGTAGCCTTCAACTCTCAGAATTCCCAGCCAGCCTGCTAACATGGGTAGGAAAAAATGAAATACCAACATTTTAATCATTATATGGGTTGAGTATACATGGAGTGGAGTGGTTCTTGCTTGCAAACCTATACCTAGTTTTATTTATTTGTTTTACTGTAATTGTATACTGCCAGATTAAAAAGATGATTCCGGGAGGTTTACATCCTAAAAACATAACAACATGATAAACCTAAAATCAAGATGAAAGACAATTTTCTTTTCTTTATGTGTGTCTGTGATAACACAGTGAAATGCATATCACTGTGATTGTTATGTACTGCAGTGAAATGCTTCTGTTGGTATAAAGTACTAGTTTCAATTTGTAGCTTATCCTGTCCAAACATATTTGGACAGCATACTTGGAAAGATACCCTGTTGCAATCAGGCAGAGTTTACTGACTTGCTGACAATTGTTTACATATGCCGCCCAGGATACTGTCTTCTGAGGCAGTCTACAAATAGCAGAAAGATATTCTTTGCTGCATTTTAATTAATGCATTCAAATAATAAAAGGACCTTACTACTGGAAAGTTGATGTAAAAGGCCCTGTGGAAGAACAGAAGGCAGCTGTTTAATAATATCCTCCCTGAGTGCTGCCTTATCTCCTGAGATTTTTATACAGTGATTTCTGGTAGGTAGCCCTTCATCTGGAAAGGCCAGTCCAGTAGGAATGACCTGATCATAACTACCCCCTCAACAGTCCTCACCAATACATACCTAGCTGGATTTTGTTTTAGACCATTTCTGCAATACTGATTTATAAAGGCTTCTGACACCTTTCAGGCATTATTAAAGCAATATTAATCCTGTCCTCATTATCTTCCGAGTATCAGGATAGATAAACCATGTTATAAAAGTCCCAAAGGTGCTTTTTCACACCTTTCTCTTTCAAGACGTTTTGCTTCTCATCCAAGAAGTTTCTTCAGCTCTGACTGGATGGTGGGGAATGGAAGGATTTATACATGTTATAAAAGACTAACCTAGAAATAGCTTCAAAGAACTCCATAAAAGTCCATAATGGAGACAGTACTCTTTAAGTACCTTTAGCTGATTTTGGCTGGTTTGCAAAAGTTAAGTGGGATTGGAGATTAGTATTTGGATTAGTATTTGGAAGGGAGATCACAGGGAGATCTCAAGGGTATAGAGACTACGCTGTGAAGTTGAAAAAGCAGCAGCAAGAGTTTTCTGAAATTGGTGCAAAAAGTACAGATGTGGAAATAAAATCTAAGCTTGACTGAAGGGAATATTTTCATTTTAGTCTATGGTGGGTAAGCACCAAGTCAGTTTTAACTGATCTTAAGGTAAGATAGGTCTGATATGGTTAATTCTTAGTTGGGAGAATACCAATATATTCCAGCGGGGTAGTTGTGACTGTCAAAACAACATTCCAGAAGGATCCTGTAGCAAAAGGTTATGTCTGGGAAGTCATCAGGAGTTGGGATTTGTTTCAGGGAGTTTTTTTCCCTTTGTATATCTACATTATTTTTTTGTGGTTGAAATTAAATTTGTAAACAGCATAGGAATGAGACCTATCTTCCTCCCTCTTTTGAAAATGGATTGATTTCTTAAAAGTTCAAGAGGTTGTGTTAATTAGTAAGCAAAAATTGGGAAATGGGAGATATTAAAATATGTAAAGTTTTTTTCAAGGCAGCATGGCAATCTTTTTCTATAAGAATTGGCCATGTGATAAGTGGTTTGCTTTTGCCTCCTCCAGTGAAGGAGAGGCCTTTCCCCAGCACTTGGAGCATTCTAAGTACGGCCAGTTGAGGAGGTGCTTTCATGCAGTAAGTGACCTACTCTTGAAAATAAACTTCAGGAAATGTGAGGTTACCTATCTCAATGGGTAGCAGTTTCACAGGACTCAAAATAGAGAAATCCCTTCCTATCATGTTTCCCTGGTCTTATATTTTTTTTTGCCTCCAAAAGAGGTAGTAAGTCTTACTTTTGGGGGATGTCTTATTTTTTCCCCGACACCTGCCTTGCCTCGTGGCGTCCGTCCAGCAGGAACCCACATGGCCGCTGGTCTGCTTCTGTGGCCACTTGCAGCAGGAGGCCGTGTAGCCGTTGCCACGAGGCGAGGCAGCTGGGGGAGGGGCTGGAGCTGCCCCAAGTGCCCCATAGGCGCCCAAACACTTTTCTCCCGGATGGACAAATGACGGAGACTGGAAGATTTGTCTGCTTGAAAGTGGGGCGGTTGGAAATGGAGTGAATCCCTCAGTTTCCAAGTGCCCCATTTGTAAGTAGACGAAACTTCCAGTCTCCCTCTGGGCGAAAAGTGTGCAGCCTCTGCACTGGACTTACCTGTGCTGCTCCAAAGACGGTGGGCTGCGGTGGTTGCCAGACACCATCGGCTCCCATGCACTTGCCACCGCTTGTGCTGGCCACGCCCACCACCAAGCTTATTTTTGGAGTAGAGCTTATATTAGGCCCACCCCCAAAAATCAGGCTAGGGTTTATTTTTGGTGTGGGTCTTATTTTCAGGGAAACACAGTATCTACTAGAGGAATTTGTTTAGTTGAACGTAGGAAGTGACGGATCATTGTGGCTTGTCGACCTTGTGTAATAAACCAGGTAAGAACCCCAGCCCGATGATCTAATTCTCCTTATAGAATTAGTTACATTCGTTACATTAGATCATCTAATTCTAATGTAACTTGTAAAGAATCTTGCAAGTCTGAATTCTCTACCTATCTCCTTTATAGCCCAAGAAATTAAGGAGAATCTCTTAACCTCTGCTGCTGCCCACTATCCAATTGCAGGCTATGTTTCTTATCTGACACTTCCCTGGCAGCATCTTTTTGCCCAGTTTCCCATGCTTTCCCCACATACTATTATATCATTTTCCCCTTCACACTCATCCTCCCCTCCTGAGCCACCCAGGGAAATAGATTGTGGGCTGGGAAAACAAAATCTAGCTCCTCTCATCTGCTGATAACTCTCCAAGACCATATGAGACATTCCCTAAATCAGGTGCACCCTGTTGGTCTTTCCCTCTCATATCTGTATATATGTCTGCAACATTTCCCATGGTTACCCCCAAGGCACCCTCCACCCTATACAAGAACCCCTTCTGTTCATTTTGGTCAGTGCCAAACTCTGCAAGTCTAGTAGTTGGCAAGTATGGATTTATTAGGGTGTTGGTTGTGAAAGCAGTGCACCAGTTACAGCTCATACACACCTCTTGCTGCCTCCATGACCTTTCTGATTCTGGGTATCTTTTTCCAGTGTATGCTGGCTGAGGAATTCTGGGAGTTGAAGTCCACGTGTCATAAAAGAGCCAAGGTTGCCTACCCCTGGTCTAGCACCTACAGTCTAGCGTTGCTTGAAGTACTCTTCCTTCCTCGTATAGCAGGGTGCAGGGAGATGCCTCTTTCACCAGCAAAGATTGATGGAATAGGGTGAGCTGTCATTGATGCTGGCAGTTGCAACTGGAATGCTACTTGGTTTATTTGCTTAATCACTGGAACAAGGCCAATAAATTGTGAGTCTAGTTTCTTGGAAGACCTTTAAATTCTTTTGGTCTGAACAGGCTTGTATAGTGTGGGCTGCTCTTTCCAGAAAGTGTCTCCATTACTAAACAACAATTTTTATTGCCAGCAACTCCTTATGGAAAATATCCTTTCTGCTGGGAGGAACATTCTGGAATAAAAGGCACACCAAAGTAAATCCCCCCCTCCTTTTTCCACCTGGTTCAGGACTGCTCCTATGGCCACATCTGAAGCAGCTGTGTTCCTCACAGAGGGTCAGGGTGGCCAAAGAGGCATGGAGAAGCAAGCATTTGTTTTCATTCTTGAAATGCTGCCTGTTCTTAGACCAGGAGAATTGCTGATCTTTTCTTAAGAGCTGGCACAGTGGTTTTATCTGGTCAGCAAAATTCAGGATGAATTTCCTGTAGAAGTTAGCAAAGTCCAGAAAGCATTGTATATCTTTCATATTACAGGATATATGAGTGTGTGTGTGTGTGTGTGTGTGTGTATGTATGTGCATGCACCATGATAAC